CCCGCCGGTACGCCTCTTCGGGGCGTGCCGGGGTCAGGCCGCGGGGGCTGCCATCGCGGACGGGCTGGCCAACTTGTTGGCACCCCCCCCCCCCTTACCCAGATGTGGCTCCGCAGCTGGGAACGGGGCCGGTATCGGCTCAGCAATGGAAAGGTTGCGTAGTAATTTCAAATGCAGAGCAGCGTGCTGCGCCGAGGCGCGCCTGCCACGGATTTTTAAATGCAGCGTTAAATAATAATGTGTGCGGCGCACAATGCTGTTGGGTATTCGCATGTACTTTGTAGGCAGAGCGATTCTGTGGTGTCTTTTGTCCAAGTGATCTAAAAATTCCTGAAGGTTGTTAATCCTGTCACCTGCACAGAACCTCGTAAGATTACAAAATAAGATTGGGAAACTGAGGTTTGCAGAGTTTAATGACTGAAGTTTTACAGGAATGTTTGATCATGAGGGGAGGTGGTCTAGACCTCTGAAATCTACAGAATATCTATGTGTTTATGAATACATATGTAAAGTAACCGCAAGTAACTCCTCATAGAAATTTTGTGGCACCACGAAATTTCATGTGAGGAATTCCTATTTAAAAAAAAAAACCCCAAACCCCCCAAAACCACACTACCAAAAAACCAAAACCCCCAACTCCATTAATGTATGAATGAATGAATGAAGCGCATCAAGAAAAACAGTCTGTGCTTATGTAGAGGGAGATTTTGATGGTTTGGTTTTACAAAATACACCTAATAAGTGAGTAAAAGTGACTGGAAGCAAAATACAGAGGAATGAGCATGTGTAGTGAAAGAGTTTTGAAAGTGACTGAATTACATGTTCTTCCTTTTTTTCTTCCCCCAGCCATTTGTTTGAATGGAACCTTAGGTTAAGGATACACATGAAAAAGTATCTTCTAGAAAACTGACAAAAGTGGGCAAGTTGAAATTGAGCTTGCTGTGATGGAATAGATACTGCACGCAACTTGCAATGATACCTGCAGCTGGGATCAATGGCACCACATGGCTCAGTGCCTCATATGTGCAGGCTATAAGCTGCTCTTGGCAGGTGCCGTGTATTTATTTCCATAAAGTGTGTAGCTTCTAAGGGTACTGTAAAACAAATAATAGATGACCATCTTTTTATGGCATGGGGCTGGCATTGTATAATTACCTATTCATAATAATAGTCATAAATTTAATGGCTTCATGACATAGTGCAGCTTCTACCAAATTTATTTTAAATGTTGTGGATATGGCATTTTGATGATAATAAAGTTACTTTTTATCAAAGCCTGGAAAACTTCCCTGTATTGAATGTTTCACAACAGGTGCTCCTGTAAAGCCAAGATGTTTTTATAAAATACTGTTTGAGCTCTGTTGAAGCTTTTGGGGATAATCACAATGGAGGGTGGCTAAACACATGGTTTAAAAGATTTGTTATAAGCAGTTAAAAATCATATATACTTTGTTTTTAGACATCAGTGGACTGTGTGTAATATAGGTCCAGTTGTGTATAAAGAGCACTGATTATGACTGGAGTATGAATTGCAGAGTTACAAAATTATGCTGCACTGAGGAGAATGTATCTGTAACTGATTAAAGAAAAAAAAAAGGCAAAGTTAGAGTTTTGTAACCTCTCAGCTTAAGAGTCTGTCTTGATAGTAAGTTTGTAGTACAGGAAGAATATAAAATGCGTTCAGTGTAATCAAATCAAAGGTAGTAAAGGAGAGAATGAGGCCAGGGAAGAAAAAGAAAGTGCTGATACTCTTTGGTGTGTGTCCTTGAAGATTATGCATGACATTCGGTGATACTATACGCATGCTAGGTATGAAAATGTAGCAGTGCTTTGGAAAAAAAAAAAGTTTTCTGATTAGTAGGTTGTTTCTATTACTTGATCCAAATCTGTACTGTGAGTACAGTCATACCAGTACGGCAGGTACTTGAAATGGGCACTCCAGAATAATAGTAGCACTTGGAACTGATGGAGATGAATGTGTTTTGTTTCTCCACTTCTATATTTCAGTTTTGATCACAAGTAGATACTAATCTTTATATACAAAATGTTGCGATTTGTGATTTACGTTTAAGCTGTAACTGTCTAATTATCCTGCTATAAAGTTTCAGTGAAGGCAAAGGCTTGTAACTCTGGGAGGACAAATCCAGGTAGCTTGTGTCAATGTTACTCTACTGTCTGGGCATTCAAACAAATGAAGGGAAGAACCTTGCATATTTGGCAGTGAATGGAAGTAGAAATTTCAGTTAAAGGTGAAGCTGTTATCTCTAAGATTGAACTAATTAATAAGATCCACATCTGTGGATTGAGTGTGAGAAATTGATCACTTTTTGACTTAATGCTTGGTAGAACTAGGGGCACAGATTTGTTTGAGAATGGTGTTGGTTATGTGCAAGTTGGAGATCAGTGTAAAAGATGGAGGATGATAGCTCCAACAGAGCCGTTTGACACACTTGTAAGAAGAACAGTCTCCTCTGTGCCCAACTGTATTACAAGAGCAGAGCCTTGTTGCCTTACCAAATTGCTTTTCCTAGACCTTTCTTCTTGGTATTAGACTGCTAGTTAGTTATAGAAATGGAGAAGAACTTGTTTTCTGCTTCTGTGTGTATCCCCCAACAAGGTATTATGTGACAACTTGTCACTATGTTAACCCTTCCTTTGGCTCTTATTTTGTCTTGCACCAAGTTAACTGAAATGGCTACTTGGAAAAGGTAATGTGTTTTTGATAGGCTTCTTGTTCCAATGTTTCTGTTGCTATTTTTGGTCATTTGGTGCAAGGGAAAATGCTTGGTGTGAACAAGAACCTACAATTATCTCTGTAGATTTGGGAAGGCAAACTTGCACACCTTTCTTTTGTATTTTGGGGGGGGGGGGGGGGGGGGAATCACTCCTTGGGGCGAAAGCCTCATAATAACAACTGTGTCACCTTGGGTCCTTAAAGTTAATGAATGAGTGAATCAATGTTGATGTACTGCAGTATTCCTTCTGTCTTGTTAGGGGAGAGAGGGAATAAAAGTAGTTATGTCCTTCCCACCCAGACAGCTACAGAGAAGTATAGGAAGGATTATCATAAAAACTTGGCTGCTAGAGAATCATGTGTTGCATAGTGCATCGAGGTTGCAACTTAAATTATTTTATTATAGTTAAAACTCTCACATAGCCTTCTGTTTTTCCTGTCTGTACTCATGTCATATTTGTGTCTCTGCTGCTTTCTTCTTTCTTTGAGGTGAAGCCTCACAAATAGCATGCTGGACCTTGATCCATTTCTAGTTCTGGCACTGTCTTGCTGATTGTCTGTTGACAAATGACTTTTCTTGATGGCAGGTCAGCTTACCTGTCATTAAATTGGAGATACTTAAATTTGCTGGGAGATGAGAATTATTCTAGGAAAGCAAAGCTTTCTTCTTGGCTTTAGGTCTCTGTGGGGTAAGGTGAGTTCAGGAAATAATCTTTGCTTTCACTGCTTCCACCAGAGGGAGCAAAATTTTTATCTGAAAATTGGCAAAAATCATATGGGTTATTACTGCCCTTCATTTGCCATAAAACCAGATAACTGTAGTAGAGGAATAGCTGAGCAGGGGAGATGGGAGATTGGCTACAACAATATGTGAGCATCAACTTTTTGCATGGGTTGTCAAAGAGATTGATCTTGAGATCCTGAAATGTGGTCTGAACAACTGAATTGACTAAGCTAATTTGTCATTATCTTCTAGATAAGAACAGAAAGAGCGTGGCTCCAACTGCTAACAGTATAGCTATGTGAAGATGTGTGGACTGAATAAAATGTCACGCTTGTGGTTGTGCACTTCGCTTAAAATCCAGGATGTAAAGATAAGCAGTGTTTTTTCAACAAAAGTAAAAAAAAAATTCCTTGCTGTTTCCATACTTTTCTTGGGTTTTTTTTCAGTCTAATTTTAGCTATTATGGGAATAAATTTGCTCATTTGTGTAGAATAAATATAATTTTCTACACGAGTGCCATCAACCTTCAAAGAATCTAATCTGACCTTTTTTTTAATAAGAATAGGCATAAAAATCCAAGTCCTTCTAAACATGAACTGTATACACCGTATGAAATTCCTTAATTTAGTGATCACAGGCCAGTCTGCTGCATCTACGTCTTTGCATTATTTTCTGCTTACGCTTCCTTGTGCAGAGCGTTAACCCAAGTTGTTTTCAACATGCCCTTAACCCACTCAGTTCCACATAAAAGCAATTATCATTGACGTATGTTGAGCCTTCGTGTTTCACCTTGTTGCCTTCAAGGAGAGTGGGCAAGATTGTTTCTTCCTCATATATATGTATGAAATGTTTGTTTCTTACATGCGTGTGATTGGCAAGATGTATCTGCAGATTTTCTTACTTCATTTTGATGCTTTGGACAAGAGCCACAGCTGGAGTTTAGGGAAATGGCCAGGCTTGGAGGTGGCATAAGGAATAATTTTGCTGAGAAGCAGTATGTGCCTGATTTGCCTACAGGGAGCATCTGGATGTGTCTCCTAGTTAGATCTCTGTTATTTCACAAAGTTTTGGGCATTAGTGATGCCTTAGCCTCTTTGTTTTCTGTCAAGGCAACCTAATGTAGCTTTCTGAGGACTAAAATGTTTAGATGGCCTAATACTTGTCTTAGGCATTATAAAACTACAAAAAAGAATAAAGCAAAGAGTGTCCCAAGTTTTATTCTCTTTCACCATTGATTCTTAGACCCTTGTGAGCAGCTGTGAAATACAGAGCAGCATGTTAATGATTTTTCTGATGTGACCCAGGAAACTTAGGAGTAGTAGAAATGAGTGAAAGTAGCATTCATGGGTGTGTAAAATGCAAACACTGAAGAGAAGGGAGTGGTAGGATAAGAAAATTGTGCCCCTACTTTGCCCTGTACTTTTCTTATCTGCTGCTAGCAGCAGTCAGAAGAACGAAGGATGAATAGCAAAGCATAATCTCCCATGACAATAGATGGAGACTGTAGTGGGT